ATCAGGCAAAACACAAACATCAATACTGAATCCGCGCTGATTACATTCACTAAATAAAATAACACGAAGAAAGAAAATGCTTCTCGGTGTTAGACGAGTCAAGAGGGTTGTTTACAAGAGCATAGAATGCGAAGAAGCGGGGACGTGCAGCCAGATTCGGCATTTGTCATTCTAACTTGTACTCATGCGGGGAGCATTGTACGGACATGTTAGAAAGGGGTGAGGAGGTTTTAAAGGGCCATCTCCAATCTTCCAAGGGCCATCTCCATTCTGCCAAGGGCCATCTCCATTCTGCCAAGGGCCATCTCCAATCTTCCAAGGGCCATCTCCAATCTTCCAAGGGCCATCTCCAATGTTCCAAGGGCCATCTCCAATGTTCCAAGGGCCATCTCCAATCTTCCAAGGGCTATCTCCATTCTGCCAAGGGCCACCTCCATTCTTTCAAGGGCCACCTCCATTCTTCCAAGGGCCACCTCCATTCTTCCAAGGGCCACCTCCATTCTGCCAAGGGCCACCTCCATTCTTTCAAGGGCCACCTCCATTCTTCCAAGGGCCAATTCCATTCTTCCAAGGGCCAATTCCATTCTTCCAAGGGCCACCTCCATTCTGCCAAGGGCCACCTCCATTCTGCCAAGGGCCATCTCCATTCTGCCAAGGGCCACCTCCATTCTTCCAAGGGCCACCTCCATTCTTTCAAGGGCCACCTCCATTCTTCCAAGAGCCAAATTCCATTCTGCCAAGGGCCACCTCCATTCTGCCAAGGGCCACCTCCATTCTGCCCACCTCCATTCTGCCAAGGGCCACCTCCATTCTTCCAAGGGGCCACCTCCATTCTTCCAAGAGCCACCTCCATTCTTCCAAGGGCCACCTCCATTCTTCCAAGGGCCACCTCCATTTTTCCAAGAGTCACCTCCATTCTTCCAAGGGCCACCTCCATTTTCCCAAGAGCTGTGGACTTTAGAGGCTCCACGCTTAAATGACAAGGGGCACTATATAGAGGACTTTTTTTTTTTTTTTTTTACAGGGCTGGTTTACTGTCCCAGCCTCCAACCCTTCTTTTTTCACAGCAGGGACTTGGACTGGCCATGGTAGAGCTTATGCAGAGGACTTTTTAGCTACCGCAGTGACTTGGTTTTATCCACCTTCCAAGGGCCATCTCCATTTTTCCCAGGGCCATCTCCATTCTTCTCATGCAGGGAGGCACCAACAAGCATTGTATGGACATGTTATAAAGGGTTGAAGGAGGTTTTAAAGGGCCATCTCCAATCTTCCAAGGGCCACCTCCATTTTTCCAAGAGCTGTGGACCCTAGAGGTTCCACGCTTAAATAACAAGGGGCACTATATAGAGGACTTCTTTATTTTTTTTTACAAGGCTGGTTTACTGTCCCAGCACCCAAACCCTTCTTTTTTCACAGCAGGGACTTGGACTGGCCATGGTAGAGCTTATGTAGAGGACTTTTCAGCTATCGCAGTGACTTGGTTTCATCCACCTTCCAAGGGCCATCTCCATTCTTCTCATGCAGGGAAGCACCAACAAGCATTGTATGGACATGTTATAAAGGGTTGAAGGAGGTTTTAAAGGGCCATCTCCAATCTTCCAAGGGCCATCTCCATTCTTCCAAGGGCCATCTCCATTCTTCCAAGGGCCATCTCCATTCTTCCAAGGGCCATCTCCAATCTTCCAAGGGCCATCTCCAATCTTCCAAGGGCCATCTCCAATCTTCCAAGGGCCACTTCCATTCTTCCTAGGGCTGTGGACCTTAGAGGTTCCACGCTTAAATGACAAGGGGCACTATATAGAGGACTTTTTTTTTTTTTTTTACAGGGCTGGTTTACTGTCCCAGCACCCAACCCTTCTTTTTTCACAGCAGGGATTTGGACTGGCCATGGTAGAGCTTATGTAGAGGACTTTTTATCTACCGCAGTGACTTGGTTTCATCCACCTTCCAAGGGCCATCTCCATTCTTCTCATGCAGGGAGGCACCAACAAGCATTGTATGGACATGTTATAAAGGGTTGAAGGAGGTTTTAAAGGGCCATCTCCATTCTTCCAATAGCCACTTCCATTTTTCCAAGAGCTGTGGACCTTAGAAGTTCCACGCTTAAATGGCAAGGGGCACTACATAGAGGACTTTTTTTGTTTTTTACAGGGCTGGTTTACTGTCTCAGCACCCAACCCTTCTTTTTTCACAGCAGGGACTTGGACTGGCCATGGTAGAGCTTATGCAGAGGACTTTTTAGCTGTTGTAGTGACTTGGCTTCACACACCTTCCAAGGGCCATCTCCATTCTTCCAAGGGCCATCTCCATTCTTCCAAGGACCATCTCCATTCTTCCAAGGGCCACCTCCATTTTTCCAAGAGCTGTGGACCTTAGAGGTTCCATGCTTAAATGACAAGGGGCACTATATAGAGGACTTCTTTATTTTTTTTATAGGGCTGGTTTACTGTTCCAGCACCCAACCCTTCTTTTTTCACAGCAGGGACTTGGACTGAACATGTTTAGGTTGAGTTGGAAAGCCGATTGAGAGCCAGGTCTGCTCATCCAACATTAGTACCTGACCTCACAAATGGGCACAGGGTCAATGTCACAGGTGGGACATGGTCAATATCACAGGGGTTACAGGTACAATGTCACAGGGGGTATAGGGTCAATATCACAGGAGGTACAGAGTCAGTGTCACAGGGGGTACAGGGTCAATGTCACAAGGAGTACAACGTCAATGTCATGGGAGTACAGGGTCAATATTACAGGGGGTACAGGTACAATGTTACAGGGGGTACAGGGTCAGTATCACAGGGGGTACATTGTCAGTGTCATGGGAGTACAGGGTCAATGTCACAGGGGATACAGGTACAATGTTACAAGGTCAATGGCACAGGGAGTACAGCCTCAATGTCATGGGGGTACAGGTTCAATGTCACAGCGAGTACAGGGTCAATGTCACAGGGGGTACAAGGTCAATGTCACAGGGAGTACAGCCTCAATGTCATGGGGGTACAAGGTCAGTGTCACAGGGGGTACAGGGTTAATGTCACAGGCGGTACAGGTACAATGTTACAGGGAGTACAGGATCAGTGTTACAGGGGGTACAGGGTCAGTATCACAGGGGGTGCAAGGTCAAAGTCACAGGGGGTGCAGGGTAAGTTTACCACAGGGGGTACAGGTACAATGTTACAAGTGGTACAGGGTCAGTGTCAAGGGGCTACAATGTCAATGTCACAGGGGGTACAGGTACAATGTCACAGGGGGTACAGGTACAATGTTACAAGGGGTATAGGGTGAGTGTCACAGGGAGTACAGGGTCAGTATCATGGGGTACAGGGTCAAAGTCACAGGGGGTACAGCATCAGTATCACAGGTGGTACAGAGTCAGTGTCACGGGATACAAGGTCAGTGTCAAGGGGGTACAGGGTCAATGTCACAGGGGGCACAGGTATAATGTTACAAGGGGTACAGGGTCAGTGTCACAGGGAGTACAGGGTCAAAGTCACAGGGGGTACAGCATCAGTATCACAGGGTACAGAGTCAGTGTCACAGGGGTACAGAGTCAGTGTCACAGGGGTACAGAGTCAGTGTCACAGGGGTACAAGGTCAATGTCACAGGGAATACAGGGTCAATGTCACAGGGGGTACAGGGTCAATGTCACAGGGGGTACAGGGTCAGTGTCACAGGGGGTACAGGGTCAGTGTCACGGGGGGTACAAGGTCAATGTCACAGGGGGTACAGGGTCAGTGTCACGGGGGGTACAAGGTCAATGTCACAGGGGGTACAAAGTCAGTGTCACGGGGGTACAAGGTCAGTGTCACGGGGGTACAAGGTCAATGTCACAGGGGGTACAAGGTCAATGTCACAGGGGGTACAAAGTCAGTGTCACGGGGGTACAAGGTCAGTGTCACGGGGGTACAAGGTCAGTGTCACAGGGGGTAAAGATTGCCAACAATGCCATCAGTGACCTCTGCAACCCTTCATGTTACCACGATCCATTCATGTTATCTTCCCATTCACATTGCTTTTCTATATTTCAATTTCCTCAACATCCCCATAACGGGCCCCTTCCACCAGCGGGCTCCTAGCACCTGCATGGGCTGCTCTGACCTGCCTGGAATCCATTTTCTGGGAGACCCGGTACCCTTGGGTTCCTGGTGACTGACGTCCTCTCCCACCCTCCATGCCTAGTCCTCCTCCGCAGAGAAGAATGCTCCTAAATTGCTGATAATAGTCATTACAGCCGGCCATTCACACGGCAATAAAGAGAACACGGCGCCGCTCTGTAAGTGTGAACACAAAGGACAGAAAGAAGCGGAATTTAGATTTACATGAATGCAGATACACTCAGCTCCCTGCAAGTACAATTAATTTTAAACAAAAGGAAATGGGATCTGTGTCATCCGAACAAAGGCAGCCGAACAAAAGGAAATGACTGTAGTAAATTAAACGGCACGTAGATAAAGGCAACAGAAAAATTGAATTAGATGCCGGCCCCATATGGAAGTCTGCTTTCATTTAGTTCTTTAGGGAAATCGGCATCTGGTGTAATTATATCTGTTTGCACAGTAATGTTTTCTTGGATGCTGAGATAATCTGATAAACATCCATACGTACGACGCCAGATCCCCCCTCCCAGGAACAAATGCCCCCTAATACCTCAACATGAACTTCCAATCTGATGAGATTTGGCCTTCTCTGGTTCCCCCCTCCCCCCTCATCAATATGCTAATATCATTTTTGGATTAAACCTTTACATTTTCATGACTTTATTGTAGATCCATTGATGTCATCATTGGCTCTCTGTGCTTCTCTATGCAATGCAGGCAGATTGTGGCTGGTGGGAGGGGTTGGCAGGGGGCTGTACATAGCTTCTTGAAAACATCACGACACCCTGTCTCAGTACTCCTGTCAAGGTCCCCCAGTCCTGATGCAAGCAGTGGGAGGAGTTATGCAAATATCAAAGTGCTATGAAGGGTGAATGTAGGTATGTGATGCTGAGCCTCCATGATTGAAAGAACTGAAATCCAGTAATGAAAGGGGAGGGGCCAGGGACCGTCAGGCTGGGGAGGAAAGTGCTAGATGATGCTGGATGTCCTCCAGCCAGAAAAACAGGTGGAGCTCTGAAGGGGAGGAGCCGGTACACCTGTGCAAGACTGAAGGGGAGGAGCCGGTACACCTGTGCAAGACTGAAGAGGGAGGAGCCGGTACACCTGTGCAAGAATGAAGGGGAGGAGCCGGTACACCTGTGCAAGAATGAAGGGGAGGAGCTGGTACACCTGTGCAAGACTGAAGGGGAGGAGTCGGTACACCCGTGCAAGACTGAAGGGGAGGAGCCACTACACCTGTGCAAGAATGAAGGGGAGGAGCTGGTACACCTGTGCAAGACTGAAGGGGAGGAGTCGGTACACCTGTGCAAGACTGAAGGGGAGGAGTCGGGACACCTGTGCAAGACTGAAGGGGAGGGAGTCAGTACACCAGTCCAAGACTGAAGGGGAGGAGCCGGGACACCTGTGCAAGACTGAAGGGGAGGAGCTGGGACACCTGTGCAAGACTGAAGGGGAGGAGCCGGACACCTGTGCAAGACTGAATGGGAGGAGCCGGGACACCTGTGCAAGACTGAAGGGGAGGAGCCAGTACACCTGTGCAAGACTGAAGGGGAGGAGTCAGTACACCTGTGCAAGACTGAAGGGGAGGAGTCAGTACACCAGTCCAAGACTGAAGGGGAGGAGCCGGGACACCTGTGCAAGACTGAAGGGGAGGAGCCAGTACACCTGTGCAAGACTGAAGGGGAGGAGTCAGTACACCAGTCCAAGACTGGAGGGGAGGAGCGGTACACCTGTGCAAGACTGAAGGGGAGGAGCCGGTACACCTGTGCAAGACCATTAACCTGTTGAAGGTCAATATTACACCTTTCCATCCACTCCAGAAGGGAAGCTGTATTGTCTTTACTCAAAGTATTAATCCAAGCCTCGCTCTCGGAGTTCATCACGTTGTTGTCCATCATTAGAGAATTAGCTGCTCTCCCCATGGGCATTAATCAGTGGGTAGAAGGCTAGCCCCTAATCCCCTCCAAAAGTCCATGTCCTGGTTGGGTCTGTCACATAACTCCTTTATTTTTGCAGAAGGGCACCATTTGTTTCCTCATTTTTTCCCCCCCCAAGTCCGCAATACAAAAAAACAAAACACCAAAGTCAACCAAAAAAGTATATGTAAACCAGGGCTTTTTTCAGCAGGAACGTGGGGGAACACCTCCAGCACTGGATATATATGGCAAGGGGTGCTGGGGTGTGCTGGAGGGTCTATTGATGCTTGCTGTTAGGGGATCTATTGTTGCTGTGGGGGATCTATTTTTGAGTGGGAAGGTCTATTGTTGCTGGTGGGGGATCTGTTGTTGCTAGGGGTCTAGGGGCTGGGGGGTAATTTGTTTCTGGGAGGGATCTACTGTTGAGGGAGGGGTCTACTATTGCTGGCTCCTGGGGGATTTAGAGATTTGATGTTTGCTGCGATTGTTGCTAGGGGATCTATTGTTGCTGGAGGGGGTCTCTTTTTGAGTGGGAGGGTCTATTGTTGCTGGTGTGGGATCTGTTGTTGCTAGGAGTCTTATCTTTCTGGGGGGTAATTTGTTTCTGGGATGGATCTACTGTTGAGGGAGGGGTCTACTATTGCTGGTTCCTGGGGGATTTAGAGATTTGATATTGCTGAGATTGTTGCTGGGGATCTTTTTTGCTGGGGGGAATCTATTGTTGCTGGGTGGGTCTATTGTTGCTGGCTGTAGGGGATCTATTTTACTGCTTTGTCTTTAATAAATTCCAAATTCTCTACTATTGCTGGCTCCTGTAGGATTTAGAGATTTGATATTGCTGCGATTGTTGCTGGGGGATCTATTTTTGCCTCGGGGATCTATTGTTGCTGGGTGGGTCTATTGTTGCTGGCTGTAGGGGATCTATTTTACTGCTTTGTCTTTAATAAATTCCAAATTACTCAGAACAAGACTACGATACTTGGTTCTGTATTCTCTACAAGAAGCGGTAGTGGGAGGTGGGTAGGAGGTGGAACCAAGGGTTGATGCTTGGAGGTGGGTAGGGGGCGGAGACAGGGGTGACTCAGAAGGGGCAGTTCCTGCACCTATTCTCTGAAAAAAAAGCCTCGTGTAAAACACATAAGAAGTGCACTTACGTTGACTCATCTGATCTCCTCCAGAAGAGGAAGGACCCTTCCCAGACCCTTCGGGGCACAAGACACCTGACAGGGGCAAGGCATACTTAGGTCCACTTAGCCAAAAGGCCTTGTGGACTTCGCTTCTCATGATCAGCCGAAGCTGTCAAAGGAGTACTAGGTGAGAGGCTCTCCCAAAAAGAGACTCCCCCCAAGCAGGGGCGGACTGACAAGTCATGGGGCCCCCGAGCAATCGGGGATCATGGGGCCCCTGTGTCCTTGCTCAAACTCAAAAAAGCCTATGAAAAAGGTACCAGGGGCATCTCATGGGGCCCCCTACTGACCCCAGGCCCTCGGGCAGTGCCCTAGTTTCCAAATGGTCAGTCCACCCCTGCCCCCAAGACAGGAGAGGAAGAAACCTAAGAGCCACACATCCTCTCTCAGGATTCAGTGTAGGCCTGAAGACCCACACCCTACCATCCAAGTGAAAAAAACAAAATACATACAGCAAGCGCAAACTGATATATGTGAAGAAAAATAAATAGAATAAAAATAGAGCCAGTGCATATGCATTTGGGTAGGCCTTGCAACCTGGTAACAAAATTGCCCCCGTTTTGGTCAAAAGGCCTCACCCATGAGTCATGGTGCAAAAAGGTATGGTGATGTAGCCTAGTGATGTTATACAAGCTGGGTTCCCAAACCCATAGTGCTGCTGTGGTACCTCCAAGACACCCCTTCTAGGGAGAGTTTGACACTGTGGGCCCTCTGCCTTCCCAGTCCTCAACCAGACAAGGTAGCACAGTTCATCTCAGGAGGCACTGGACGCCCTAAAATCCCCCATACTGGGGAAGTGCTGCCAACCAACAGTCTACATCAGCAATGGGCAAACTATGGCCCGCGGAGTGATACTGTCAGGATGGCTGACAGGATGTGTGTAGGCGGGGCAGCGTGACGAACGTGAGGGGAGTTAGGCTCCTCTCACAGTCCGCCCTGAAGACCGGAACGGCGCGGGAACACGGCGAGAGGAACGCGCGGAGCAAAGGTAAGTGAATTGAATTACTATATGGGGGATGAATTACTATATGGGGGATGAATTACTATGGGGGATGAATTACTATGGGGGATTAATTACTATATGGGGGATGAATTACTATATGGGGGATTAATTACTATATGGGGGATGAATTACTATATGGGGGATGAATTACTATATGGGGGATGAATTACTATGGGGGATGAATTACTATATGGGGGATGAATTACTATATGGGGGATTAATTACTATATGGGGGATGAATTACTATATGGGGGATTAATTACTATGGGGGATGAATTACTATATGGGGGATGAATTACTATGGGGGATGAATTACTATATGGGGGATGAATTACTATATGGGGGATGAATTACTATATGGGGGATGAATTACTATGGGGGATGAATTACTATATGGGGGATGAATTACTATATGGGGATGAATTACTATGGGGGATGAATTACTATATGGGGGATGAATTACTATATGGGGGATGAATTACTATGGGGGATGAAATACTATGGGGGATGATAATTACTATGGGGGATGAATTACTATGGGGGATGAATTACTATATGGGGGATGAATTACTATATGGGGGATGAATTACTATATGGGGGATGAATTACTATATGGGGGATGAATTACTATGGGGGATGAATTACTATATGGGGGATGAATTACTATATGGGGGATGAATTACTATATGGGGGATGAATTACTATGGGGGATGAATTACTATGGGGGATGAATTACTATATGGGGGATGAAATTACTAATGAATTACTATATGGGGGATGAATTACTACGGGGGATGAATTACTATGGGGGATGAATTACTATATGGGGGATGAATTACTATATGGGGGATGAATTACTATGGGGGATGAATTACTATATGGGGGATGAATTACTATGGGGGATGAATTACTATATGGGGGATGAATTACTATATGGGGGATGAATTACTACGGGGGATGAATTACTACGGGGGATGAATTACTATGGGGGATGAATTACTATATGGGGGATGAATTACTATATGGGGGATGAATTACTATGGGGGATGAATTACTATATGGGGGATGAATTACTATGGGGGATGAATTACTATATGGGGGATGAATTACTATATGGGGGATGAATTACTATATGGGGGATGAATTACTATGGGGGATGAATTACTATATGGGGGATGAATTACTATATGGGGGATTAATTACTATATGGGGGATGAATTACTATATGGGGGATGAATTACTATGGGGGATGAATTACTATATGGGGGATGAAATTACTATGGGGGATGAATTACTATATGGGGGATGAATTACTATATGGGGGATTAATTACCATGCTTACTATGGGGGAATATTACTATACTTACTATGGATGACACATACACATCATTCATCTACTCTTGGTCCGGCCCCCGGGTCCAATATATGAACCCATTGCGGCCCTCAAGTCAAAAAGTTTGCCCACCCCTGGTCTACATGGTGCATGCTCAAATCAGGTTCCTTCCCAAGGAGGAGATCTCTCAGGACCCCCCATCAGCAGGGATACCATACAGCCAATCATCTCAGCCAGAAAGACGGCAGAGCACCCCTACAGGAGGCTGATAAGAACAGATACTACGGTTGATCTTAGCCAAAAGGCCGAGAAGTGATGTTTCCTCAACTTCTCAATTTCAGATCGCAGACCACGTACCTGTCAACATTCATACAATATAATTACTATTATTATTATTCGATTTTTTCCATTTCCGTCTGCCTTCCCGCCATGCGGAGAGCTGGAGGAGCTACTTCTAGAGAAGTCCGTCAATGGCAGACCGTTCGTCCTTGTGAGCAGAAACCACTTGAGCCCCTTTTAATCCAGCGCCTTCCCATAATACACTTTTTGTGTTTCGCTGCTAAAACAAACCATAAATTAATTTGCTTGATTTTGGGAAATCTGCATGCGCTCGGCGCTCTCCACTACCTGCTTTACAAATATAATCAATTTATATGTTAATGAGCTGTATTCGTGAAACAGACTTTGCCAATGTCGATGAAACTCGCTCGGCACGGAATGTTACTCGTCGCGGTGGTTGGGGAAAAAAATAAATCTCAGCGGAGGGGAAGAAGCTAGAACTGGGTTTTAATGCAACGCCGGTATTGATGGAATGCGGGTCTATAACTGACACTTCCAATTAACTTGTTCAATAGAGTTTATTTGCCGGTAACTCAGGATATGGCGGAGTTACAGGGCGAATGATTATCTTGTTACGTTGGTCAGCACCTGAGCTCGGTGGCTTAGTGGTCAACTTAATTATGTCACTTATCTGGTAAGGAAGCAGATTACTTACTTACCTATAAACAACTATAATTATATTACTGGAAAAAAAAGCAGTTAACCTCATCCCCATAATTCCTTGCTGTCAATTAAGGAAATATTTATGGCGTGATAAAGTTTCACATTCATTGCATCCAAATAGCATTTTCACTGGCCAGTAGGGATGAGCAAAAGTAGAGTTTAAGAGTTTTTATTTTAATAACAG